ATCCGGCAAGCCCCTGCTGCTGCTGTTGCTGCTGCTGCTGCTGCTGCTGTTGCTGCTGCTGCGGCTGCTGCAGTAGTAGTAGCAGTAATACCTGCCGTTGCTATTGCAGCAGCTGCTGTTCCTGTTCCTGCTGCTGCTAACTCTGTTCCTGCTGTAGCTCCTCTTGCTGCAGTACATGCAATTGCTGCTGTTGTCGATACGGTTGCCTGTGCATTGTTGCCTCTGCTGCTTCTGCTGCTGCTGCTGCAGTACGCTGGTGAAGGTGGGGAACGGGGTGCTGCTAAGCCGAGGAGACAACGCCGACTATGTGGTGATATGCGATGAGTTGCTGCCGGAGGCCCATGCCCTTAGAAAGTCGGTGGCCAGCTGTACTGTCTCCTCCTGTCTCCTACTGTCTCCTTCTGTCTTCTCTCTCCTGCGAGGCCTCTTTCTGTCTGTCTTGTGGAGTCTCTTCTTTGCTGCATTGTCTCCTTTTGTCTCATTTGTGCTGCGATGTCTCCTGGAGTCTCTTGCGGTGTCTCCTTTTGTGTTGGCTTTTCTTACGCTGTCTCCTTTTATTTAATTCAGTGTCTTTGTTTGTCTCCTTTCCCCTGAGGTGTCTCCTTTTTGTTGCGGTGTACATCTCTTGTGTCTCTTGCGGTGTCTCCTCCTGTCTTCTTTTTGCTTCAGTGTCTCCTTTTTGCTGAGGTGTCTCCTTAGTGTCTCCTTTTTGCTGAGGTGTCTCCTTTTTGCTGAGGTGTCTCCTTAGTGTCTCCTTTTTGCTGAGGTGTCTCCTTAGTGTCTCCTCGTTGCTGCGGTGTCTCCTTAGTGTCTCCTTTTCCTGCCCCCCTCTCCCACTTTCTTTTGTGTCTCTGCTTCACCCATGTCTCGTTTGTCTGTCTTTTGTTTGTCTCTTCTCCTTCTGTCTGTCTCTTTTATCTGTTTTTTGTCTCCTTGTTATGTCTCTTTTATCTCCTGTCTCCTTTTTAGTGTCTGTTGTTTTAACTGTCTCCTTTTACTATTTCACTGTCTCCTTTTTAAGTGTCTCCTTTTTAAGTGTCTCCTTTTTAACTGTCTCCTTTTTAACCGTCTCCTTTTTAAGTGTCTCCTTTTTAAGTGTCTCCTTTTTGTGTGTGTTTTAGGCGACTAGCGAATCGAAACGAAGACAAAGTGGCCGCCACACACGGACAGAAGCATGCATCTCTTGTTACACCCAAGTATGATAAAAGGAGACAGATAAATAAAGAGACAGATTAAGAGATAGATTATGAGACAAACAGAAAGAGACAGATAGAGATAGCTCAAGAGACAGATACAGAGACAGATAAAATGAGACAGATAGAGATAGATAAGGAGACAGATACAGATAGATAAAGAGAAAGATAAAGATAGAGTTAGATAGAGACAGATAGAGCAGATAGAGAGACGGAGACAGATAGAGACAGACTGAGACAGAGAAAGAGACAAATAGTCAGATAGAGACAGAAAGAAAGAAGGGACAGAAAGAGACAGATAAAGAGACGGAGACAGGAAGATATAATGAGGTAAACACTCGCGGAGCCACTGTTAGCTGCTACTGCTGCTGGTGCTGCTGCTACTGCTACTGCTGCTGTTGCTGCTGTTGCTGCTGCTGCTGCTGCTGCAGGTTTCTCTATGACTGTATCACTCGGTGGGCCCTGACGAGGCCTTCGCGACGCAACGGGCATATTGCATTTAAAGGCAAGTTGCTGCAGCAGAGCTGCAGCACGTAGCAGCAGCTCTGCTGCAGCACTTAGCAGCATGGAGACAGTTCAGGTGTCTCCTTCTCGGGTGTCTCTTTTTTGTTTGTTTTGTTTTGCTGCTGCATTTATCATGCGCTGCACCCGCCATGGGAGTGGGGACATAATTAGGATAACAAATAAATAAATAAATAAATATTTATTTATTTATTATTTTAATAAATAAAATATATACAGGTTTTGTTTATTATCAGTAGGAAACTACACAACAATAATGTAGCAGCTGTATGTCTCCTTCTCTAAGGGCATAATATATAACTACTATTATAATAATAAATATATTATTATTATTAATTATCATTATTATTATTAAAGAGAGATAGAGACAAAAGAGACAGAAGGATATTCGTCTCAGTAAGCAAACAAACAAACAGACAAACAGCAAACAGAGAAGGAGACAGAAGAGACACAGAGACAGCCTGGTGAGAGAGACAGAGACAAAAGGAGACAGTCTAAAAGTAGACAGAGACAAAGAGACAGAGAGACGCAGCAAATGCAGAGAACGAAGCCCGCATTAACTAAGAAGACGACGGAGACAGCTGTCTCCTGTCTCCTCCTCTTAACCCTTAATATGTAAATATATAGATATATTTATCTATAATATATATATATATATTTGTTTATTTAAAACAAAGTGGGAGTTCATTAAGAATGACTGCGGCGTTTGTCTCCTACAAATAAATGCAAGCAAACGCACGCTGTTGCTGCAGCACGGCGTTAGCTGCTGCTGCAGCACGGCAGCACCATTGTAGTTGCTGCTGCTAGCCGGGGCTGAGGAGTGCCTTTCTTTGCTGCTGCAGCTGCTGCTGTTGCTGCTGCTGCACGGGTTAGTCGTGCTGTTACTGACGTTGGTCCTCGCGCTGCTGCTGCAGTTATAGCTGCAAATGTTCCTGCTAGCTGTATTGCTGCTGCTGCTGCTGCTGCTGCTGCTGCATGCGTTACCGCTCCGCCTGCTGCTGCTGCTGCTGCTGCAGGTGCTGCTGCTTCACCTGCTGCTGCTGCTGCTGCTGCAGCAAAAGTTGTTGCTGCTCCGCCTACTGCTGTTGCTGCAGCAGGTGGTGCTGGTCCAGCTGTTGCTGGAGGCGCGGCTGGTAATGCTGCTGCTGCTTTACCTTGTGGTGCAGCAGCAGCAGTTGCTGCGTAGACATAATATATATTTATTTTTGCTTAGAAGATCGGCAGCCAAGCCATCCAATCGAATTCAGTAAAGGGGTTTGTTGTGATGCTTTCTGCTGCTCCGCAGTGGTTGGGGTGTATGTACACCGCAAAATTTTCTTTAGAGACCTCAAGCAGCCGAGTAAAGCCTAGGGCAGGGGATCCATTAATGCGCAGCTGTATATACACATGAGGAGGCGAAGAGAATCTGCTGGGGGGCAGCATAACAACAACTACGGGGCTGCTGCTGGAGGAGACAGGGGCCCTTCCTGCAGCAACAAGGCATCCTTTTATCTGAGACACCGTGCGAGGTAATATATCAAGAAAAAATATAAAAGGAGACCCTGGAAGCTGCAGCAACGTTGAAGAGGAGACACTTCTACCGGCCATCTCCCCAAAGGGAGAGAAACGCTCACACCCCACAGAAGCAGCAGGAACAGGCAACTGCTGCTGCTGCTGCTGCTGCTGCTGCTGTTGCTGGCTGTCTGAGGAGGCCCCAGCAGCAGCAGCAACAGGAGGTGTGTCTGTGTCTAGGTTTGTGTTGGCGTTGAGGCCTGTAGGGCTGTCCCTAAAGGGTGTCTCTCTGTTAGTAAATATGTTGTCTAAGTAAAGCAACTGAGAGAAACTACGTCTTTGCTGCTGCAGCACGGCGAAGCTGAGGGGCCCCTGCTGTCTCTCTGCTCTATAAGGATCTGTCTCCCCTGGGGGGAGTATGCGGGCCCTCCATACTTTGCGTTCAGTACCATCAGTTATTGAAAAGCTAGACGTCACCAGTAAGGAGACAGTCTCCTCCCTGACGGGGATCGTCTCCTCCCTGTTGGGGATCGTCTCCCCCGCCCCACAAGGAGTTGTGAGTTTGTACCAGAACCCAGTGGGGTCAAGGCCCCGCACAACAACGTACACCTTCTGCAGCAGCAGCCCTGCAGCAGAACCCTCAGGGGGCCCCTGAGGGGGCCCCAGCAACACGCCAGGCCCCTCAATAGCCCTAGGGAACGCATAGTGTCTCCATTCAGTTGCAGCTATTAGTGTGTCTGTAAACACTGCATTCGTAGCCCTGCTGCGCTGCAGCCTGCGGCGTGCTTCCTCGCTCAAGCCAAAGGCAACCGGCAGCAGCAGCAGGAGTACCAGCAGCAGCAGCAGCAGCAGCGGAGAGCGCTGCTGCTGCCGACGCTGGAGCGCCCCAGGGGCACCCATAAGGGCTTCGCACTCGTTTGCTGCCGTCTTTTCAGCACTCTTCTGTTCTCATGCTTCTACTACACTCACTAGCACCTGAACAGCAGCAGCAGCAGCAGCAGACGCAGACGCAGCACCAGCAGCGCAGCACCAGCAGCAGCAGCAGCAGCTGCTGCTGCTGCTGCTACAGGAACAGCAAAAGGCTGGGGAGGCTACAAGACGCCAGCAACTGGAGGCAGGGATAAGTTAATAAACGTTTTTTTAATTAATTTATTAATTTATTAATCCTATTATGCAACATTTTGTTAAAAATAGGAGAGCTAGGGGGCCCCCGCTCCGCCTAGAGGGTACAGGGGGGCCCCCCTCCGGAGCGTCGGCTGCTGCCAGTCGCTGCTGTCGCCGCTGCTGCTGCTGCTGTTGCTGTTGCTGCTGCTGCTGCTCGTGCTGCTATTGTTGCTGTTGCTGGTCTTCTCCTTCCGACTGATTAATTGATACATTTTAAGTTGTTTGTGCAGCAGCAGCTGCTGTTGCTGCTGCTGCAGCGGATGCCAAATTCGCTTAGACAGGCTGGGGGCCCCAGTTCGTCTCCTCGAGGGCCTCGTGGGGGGCCCCTGGCTTCTCATGTGTGTCTATACCTTCTTATTGTTATTTAACTATGTCTTTATCAGACTCTTTAAGTCATAGGGGCCCCCTGGGTACAGTTGGGCTATTAGGGGGCCCCCGACAAGGGCCTATAGAGGGGGCCCCCAAGGGGCCCCCCCCCGGGGTTCCTATGGAGGAGCCTCCTGAGGGGCCCCTAAAGGGGGCCCCTGCTGAGGGGGCCCCTGAGGGGCCCCCCCCCTGGCAGTGGCCTGAAGCAGTCTCCTTTGTGCTGCAGCAGCAGCTGGGGGTGTCTCCTTCGGCCTTTGCCTGCAGCACTGCAAGTGCAAGCAGCATATTGAGAGCTCTACGATTTATAGGGCGTCTGCTGCAGTTGCTGCTGGAGTCTGGGGGCCCCCCTGATGCGTCTGTAAGGAAGGGAGAGGGGGGCCCCCGGGGGCCCCCCGGTCTCCCTCCAGTACCCGCAGATCTACTGTCTCCTCGTATAAGAAAGGCTCTAGAGAGATGCTGCTCCTGCATGCAAGCAGCAGATGGGGCCCTCTGGATTGAACTAGAGCAGCTAGAGACAGAGGAGACACCCAGTTGTCACCGGCTTGCTGCCTTCCTAACAACCATCACCGCCAAGTAAACCCTAAACCCTAAACCCTACACACAAACAGTAAACCCGAAAGGGAAGCTCTACCTGTAGAATTTATAAACCCTTGCGCCTGCCAACCCCTCCCAGCGGGTTTAGGGTTTAGGGTTTGGGGTTTAAGGCTTAGAGATTAGGGTTTAGGGTTTAGGGTTTAGGGTTTGTGCTCAGGCTGAAGGCTTTAACCCCTGGCTCAGCGGCCTTCATCCCTGGAGGAGTTCGTCTAGACGAAGATGCGGCGCCTGTGCACATGTTGTTTGTGGTGTATAGACACCCCGACAGCAGCAGTAGCAGCAGCAGCAGCAGTGGGTTTGGCGGTGCAGCAGCAGCAGCAGCAGCAGCAGCAGAAGCAGCTGCTGAAGGGGGGACAGGAGACTACTTAGACAGCCAAATTCATAAACGGAGACACTTCACTGTTGCCCTCGTAAACACCTCAGGCTTCGGCCACGAGTACCACGCATTCGCAATAGAGAAATGCCCCTCCCCAGGTACGGTTTAGGGTTTAGGGTTTAGGGTTTAGGGTTTAGGGTTTGGGTTAGGTGGGTAAGGACGAGAGAGAGTGATTAGACTCTGGAAGTTAAGGGGGGTTTCTCTTCTAGGGTTTAGGGTTTATTCCTTCATGCTTCTAGGGTTTAGCGCTTTCAGAATCTAGGGATCGTAGTGCTTAGGGTTTAGTGTTTAGGGTTTAGGGTTTAGGATTTAGGGTTTAGGGTTTAGGGTTTAGAGTGTATTATTTTGGGCTTCTGGGATTTAGCGCTTTCAGGGTTTAGGGTTTAGCGCCATTAGGGTTTAGCGCCATTAGTGTTTAGGGTTTAGGGTTTAGGGTTTAGGGTGTTGTTGATGTTGTTGTTTGTTGCAGGCAGCATATTAAGAGACGCATTGCTAGTGTTAGAAGATGTACGGGGCGAACATTTGCTGCATTCGTCCTTCTGGTTTTTTGTGCTGCGGCTGCTGCTGCGCCCGTCTCCTTCGGGGCTGCACTGCCTATACACCTCAGTGCTGCCTCATTTAAACAGCAAGCCGCTCTTTCATAACTGGGTGTTAGAACCAGCAGAAGGGTCTCCACCGTCTCCTCGGGGTCTCTGGCCTCTTCTTTATAGAGATGCTGCTGCTGCTGCTGCACCCGCTGCAGCAGCAGCAGCAAAAGGCATCGTCAGTCTTGCTGCTGCAACGCAGCAGCAGCAGCAACAAATACCTAGATCCCTTGCAGCAGCTAAACCCTCTACCTTAGGCGGCTTCTGGAGACTGTCTCCTTCCCCTAGAGAGGCTGGCAGTGCTGTTGCTGCAGCAGAAGCTGCGCTGCATTTCTTGCTGCGGTACAAATGCTCTTCTGCTGCTGCTGCTGCTGCACCTGCTGCTGCTGCACCTGCTGCTGCTGCTGATGCTATTGCTGTATCTACTGTCTCTCTGTCCTTGTCTCCTTGCGTCTCTCTGTTGTATCTTTGTCTCCTTTTGCTTCTCACCTGTCTCCTTTCTTGATCTCTTCTGCTGCTGCTTGGTACTGCTGCAGCTTCTGTCTCCTTTGTGCTTCTCCTGTCTCTTTTGCTGCGCCTCCCGTTTGCTGCTGCCTCTCGCCTCACTGCATGCATTCCCCTTATCTCTGTCTGCTGGTGCAGCCCCCATATCTGCTGCTGCTGTTGCTTGTGCTGCTGTTGCTGTTGCTGCTGCTGCAGGGTTAACGGGCTCTCCGCTAGCGAAGCACTGAACTGCCGGGTGTTGCTGCAGTGGAGTCTATGCCGTCTGTTTGCTTCTCGGCTCTCCGCTCACAGCAGCAGCAGCAGCAGCAGCAGAAGGGGATATGCGTTGTCGCGCGGCAGCAACTTGCTGCTGGAGGCAGCAAGGAGACAGCTGATGCTGGAGGCGAGCTTGCGGGCGTGGCTTCAAGCCGACAGCCCCCAAGGGGGGGAGGAGCTGCAGCAGCAGCACTTCAGTCTCTTTCAAGGAGACAATTTATTTCTGCTGTCTCTACAAACAGCAAATACATCACGTGCTACTAAGGGCTTCGGCCAGGGCTCCTGCAGTTTGCATACGTCTGTCTTTATAAATCCTCTGGCGAAGCCTTCACCCCCGCAGCTGCCTGCTGCTGCTGCTGCTGCTGCTGTTACTGAGGAAGGGGGGGGCAAAGCAGCAGCAGCAGCAGCAGCAGCACGGGAGGCAGCAGAAGCAGCTGCAGCAGCAGCAGCAGCAACACCGTATAGATGCCTCGAGTTTCCTCTCTTTGGTAGCTTCAGGGTGCGAGAGATGGGTGCAGCACAAACGGCATCTGCTGCACCGCTGCAGCGGCTGCTGCTGCCTGTCGATCTTGCTGCTGCTGCTGCTGCTGTCTCTACCGTAGAAGACGCTGTGCTGCGGCTAAGAGCTGCTGTGCATGCATGCGCGCTGCTAGAGAATCAGAGAGATGTTACACCCCACTCTTATTCTTTTAAGTTTCATTTACTCTCACATCTCTTTCTTAAGGTAAATAAACAACTGTCTCTCTCTGCGCTGTCTGTCTCCTTGCTGTCTCGTTGCCGCCTCCTTGCTGTCTCCTTGCTGTCTCCTTGCTGTCTCCTTGCTGTCTCCTTGCTGTCTCCTTGCTGTCTCCTTTCCTTATCTTCCTTTGCTTGCTGCTCGCCTGTCTCTTCTGTCTCCTTGTTTGCTGCTCTTCTGTCGTGTCTGTTACCCTTTGCTGTTGCTGCCCTTGGCTTTCTGTGTCTCTCTGTCTCTCTCTTGCTGCTTCTCTGTCTCTTGCTGTCTCCTTGTGTCTCTCTCCTGCTGTCTCTATCTACCTTGTTGTCCCTCTCCCTGTCAATATATCTATCTATATATCTATGTTTGCATCTCTCTGTCTCTCTCTCGCTGTCTCTGTCTCTCTCTTGCTGTCTCTCTCTCTCTCTGCCTGCCTCTTGACGCTGCTGCAACTGCTGTTGCTGCTGCTGCTGCTGCTTGTGTTTTTAGTACGAGAGAGACGCCTATCTGTCTGTATTGGAGGGAATCTCTTTGCTTATTTGTTTGTTCATCTCTGGCTTGTGCTATTTGCGTTTGCTGCTGCTGTTCTTGCTGCTGCTGCTACTGCTGCTGCTGCTGCTGCTGCTGCTGCAGGTGCTGCCGGTGCCTCTGCCTTTAGGCAGCAGCAAGTCGGGGCCCCGCTGCTTTTGGGGGAGTGCGAGCATTGGTCGCAGCACTCAGGTAGAGTGTCTCCGTTTGCTGCTAGCAGCAACAAGACATTTTGTTTGCTGCTGCTTCTCCTTACCTAGCTGCCGCTTGTTGGATGCGCAGCGGCTGCTGGTTGCTGCTGCAGCTTGCTGCATTGCAGACAGAGTGCTGCGCCTTGCTGCTGTCGATGCTCCTTCTCCTGTCTCTCTTATCTACTCTGGTAAGGAGCCAGGAGTGGGGGGCCCCTTTGCTGTCTCTTTAGAGGGCCTCAACTCAGAGACAACTTTCATTTTACTCTCAGACCCCGAAGCAGCGACAGCCAGGACACAGGTCAGCAGCAAACTGTCTCTTTGTCCTTAGGTGTCTCCTTGTCTTTGGGTGTCGCCTTGTCTTTAGGTGTCTCCTTGTCCTTAGGTGTCTCCTTGTCTTTAGGTGTCTCCTTGTCTTTAGGTGTCTCCTTTTTTAGGTGTCTCCTTTTTTAGGTGTCTCCTTGCCCTTAGGTGTCTCCTCCTTCAGTTGTCTTTCATGCTGTGTCTCCTCCTCCTTGCCCTTTCTTAGTTTGTCTCCTTCTTATGCAGCCCCTCTTCTTCATTTAAAGTGTCTCCTCCCCCCCCCACCCCCCCCGTGTTGCTGCTACTGCTGCTGTTGCTGTTGCTGCTGCTGCTGCTGCTGCTGCAGATACTGGATTACTTGGATTCTACCGCGGTGTATGCTGGCCCTGGGCGTTTGTTATTTAACTGGGGTCGGGGACGAGTGCCTTTGGGGTTAGGAGACAGTCTCTTTCTAGATTCTTTGTGTCTCCGTCTAGCCTTCCCTCGGGGGTCTCCGCATGCAGAGAGGCTCTTCACAGGACAGCAGCAGGAGATGCTCGAGCTGCTGCCAGAGCTGCGGTGCTTTAGAGATATTTGCTGCTACATTAAGACGCTCATCAGCGACCCCCCCGCAGATAAGCTGCCCCCTCTAAGGCGCTGGGCCTCTTCGGACGCCCTCTTACACTGGAGGCAAGCACCCCTTCAAAATTATGTCTCTAAATATGTCTCCTTCGTCTCTGTCTGTCTCTATAGGTGTCTCCTTTGCTTCTGTCTGTCTCTATAGGTGTCTCCTTTGCTTCTGTCTGTCTCTAAAGGTGTCTCCTTTGTCTCTGTCTGTCGTTATAAATGTCTGTTATTATTCTCCTTTCTCTCTCTAATTGTCTCCTTTACTCGCTTTCTTTCTCCAATGTGTCTCCTTTAGTCTGCAGCAGCAGCAGCAGCAGCAAAGTGATGATATGTTTGTTTTTTGTTGCATGCTGCAGCGCGGACGAGGAGAAGAACGGTGTGCTGCATGTTGGTGTCTCCGCCTTTGGGGGCCTGCAGCTGGATCTGTCTCCTCCGAGCAGCAGCAGCAGCAGCAAGGAGACAAAGAAGAGACACCGTGGGGCCTTGCAGCGTCTCTTTACAGGTTGGTTCTCAGGATCAGAGAGTAGAAGGGGCCGTTTCTCTTTAGCAGATCCCAGTAACTTGCTGCAGGGATTGCTGCCTGCAGCAGCAGCAGCAGCAGCAACAGCAGCAGCAGCATCCAGCGACGTGTCTCTCTCCGAGGAAGATGTGCTGCACCTAAAGTGTCTCCCTTCATTTGGAGGCCGTCTACCTGCATCAGATGCAGAGCTGCTGCTGCAGTTTCTTACTGCACCCTATCTAAGAGTGCCGCTGCTGCTGCAGTTCTTTGGTGAAGGGGCCCGGGCGGAGACACTTTGCTGCCCCATCCTGCAGCAGGTCCTTGCTGCTGCTTTGTTTGAGCCTTGGCATTTCCAGCAGTCTCCTGCAGCAGCAGCAGCAGCTGCTGCTGCTGCTGCCGCTGCTGCAGGCGGATCGGCTTCTGCAGCTGCAGCAGCAGCAGCAGCTGCTGCTGCTGCTGCTGCAGGAGGGGGCTGTGATGTTGCACCCCCACCCTCCCGAGAGTGTCTCTCTACCCCGGTGGGGTTGTTGTTTAATGAATTGCTGCTGTCTCCTCAATCTGTTCTGGATGCGCTGGAGAGTCTCCTTGATGCAGCCTTAGAGAAGAATACAGGCTCGCACACTTCTGCTGCTGCTGCTGCGCTGCTGTTCGTGCTGCGCCTTACTGCCCATGTCCTTAGCTACATCAGGTGTATCCTCAGACACCGCAGCTACTGGCAAGACGGCTGGCAACCGATCCCGATCCCTTCACCGAATATGCAGCAGGAGCACCTGCAGCAGCAGCAGCAGCAGCAGCAGCAGCAGCAGCAGCAGCAGGTGCAGCGCGCAATGCTACTAGGGACTGCTGCTGAAAAGGGGCCAAGCGGCGTCTCTCCGTCCCCAGGGGAAGGTGCCAACAGCAACGGCAACAGCAGCAGCAGCAGCAGCAGCAGCAGCAGCAGCAGCAGAGTGTCTGGGTGCGGGTTTGCTGCAGCAGTTCGTGGTTTAGATTGCAGCTTGGAGACAGCAGAAGTGCTGCAGAAGTATTTAGATAGATTGAGCCGTCGGGTGTATGGTGAGGTGAAGCATTTGCTTCAGCGGTGGGTTGAGAGAGCGCTGGATTGCTGCGACTTAGCTGCTGCTTGTCGCATGCATTTTCATTTGCTGCTGCTGCTGAAGGATGCACTCTGGGAAGATCTAAACCTTCAGGTTGTAACGGAGACTGTCTCCTCTTTATTTTTTTTGTTTGCTCACCACCCCTTTGCAGCAGACCTGCCGGGCAGCCCCCTCTCGCTGAACCTCGTGCAGCAGCAGCAGCAGCAGCAGCAGCAGCAACAGGGGGTGAGCCGCAGCAACAGCAGCAGCAGCCATCCAGGGGGGCCCGGCGGTCGCAGCGGGCTGGCGCTGGGAGGCGATGCTGCAGCAGCAGCAGGGTCTGGAGAGACCGCAGCAACAGCAGCAGCAGCAGAACCTCTAGGCTTCTCGGATGCCGAGATATTCCAGCTGCTGCAGCAGCAACGTTTGCTGCTAATTCGATGGCTAGACCTTCACCCAGAGGCTGCGGGGACAGTTTTAGAGACAGCTATTCAGACTGTTACATTCTCGGGGACCTCCATGAGCGCAGGCCGTGCAGCAGCAACAGCAACGGCAACAGCAATTGCTGCTGTTGCTGCTGCTGAACAAGCAGCAGCTGCTGACTTCTCCACCTCAGCAAATTGCATCTCCCTGGAAACACCAGTAGCAGCAGCAAAACCAGAAACAGCAGCAGCAGCGGCAGCAGCAGCAGCAGCAAGAGGAATGAAAGCTGCAGCAGCTGTGACAAGACAATGGCGCGCTGTTGGTGGCCTTGGTGTCTCCGGCAGATACATCCCTGCTGCTGCTGCTGCTGTTGAAGACGCTGAAGGTCTGGCGACAGGAGAAGACACCCCAGCTTCTGGCTTAGCTGCTGCTGCTGCTGGTGCTGCTGCTGCCTCAACGGGAGAGGAGGACGAGCAGCAGCAGCAGCAGCAGCAGCAGCACAAGTCGTCAGAAGGAGTGGGGCTGCTGCGCGGAGCAGTGGTAGCGATGCATGCAGCAATGAAGCGCAGCACTATGAAGCTGTTAGGTGGGGAGACACCCCACCAGCCAGCAGCAGCAGGGCAAGCAGCTGCCTATGCAGAGTATTTGAAGGCCTCTCTGGCGATGAAGTCCGAGGTCCAGGCCAACTTACAAGTGTGCCTTTGCTGCTGCTGCTACTGCTGCAATTGCTGCTGCTGCTAGTGCTGCTGCTATTGCTGCTGCTGCTGTTGTATTGCTGGTGCTGCTGCTGCTATTGTTGCTGTTGCTGCTGTTGTATTGCTGCTGCTGCTATTGCTGCTGTTGGCGGAGCTGTTGCTGCCGTTGCTGTTGCTTCTGCTGCTGCTATGTTTTATGCATACATAGATGAACGCTGCTGCGTCTTATGGTTGTTTGCTGCTGCATGCGCCTTTGTGGGGTGTACAGACAGCTGAGCTGTCTCTGCGGCAGAACCACATGCAGCTGCTGGGTTCGTGGGCCAATGGGTTTAAAGATTTTCTTTGTCTCTTCGGCCCCGTCACTCGGCTGTCTCCTCTGCAAACTGCTATTGTTGAGGAGACACCTGAACGTCTCTGGCTTAGGCTCTTGGGTCTAGACCACGACTTAGTCAGGCGCCACTATCACAATCTCCTCGCGAGCTAGCTAGCTAGCTAGCTAGCTAGCTAGCTAGCTAGCTAGCTAGCTAGTTACTCAGCCAGGCACTTAGTTAAACAGACAAGCAGACAGCTAGCTAGGCAGATAGCTAGACAGATTGGTAGACAGCTAGCTGAGCATGTAGCTAGCTAGCTAGACATAGACAGATAGCTAGACAGCTAGCTAGTAGTCCTCTATGCATTGGTTCTCTGTCTCTATTTGTGTTACTTTGGGGTGTATCTGCAGGTCCGGTGGAGCCGAAGTGTCTCCTTTTTATCAACAACTGATTTGCTGCGATCTGCCTTCCCCCGGCAATACCGCGTGGGCAGCAGCAGCTGCTTTGAGGCTGAGGAGGCGTGGGTGTCTCCTCGTGCTGCTACATTCTTCTCTAGACATTTTGTTGGGGCTCAGGTGTACGTACAGCGCCCCCCTAGGCTGAGGGGACTGCAGGCAGCACACCAACTCTTTGGAGACTGGAAGCGAGGCGTCACACGTCGTGCTGCTGCTGCTGCTGCTGCTGCTGCTGCTGCTGTGACCACAAAAACAGCAGCAGGAACAGCAGCAGAAGCAGCAGCAGAAGCAGAAGCAATGCAGCAAGACGGAAGCAAACTACAGACATGTGACACAGACGAGGGCACCATGTCTCCTGTCTCTACCGAGGAGGATGCTACCAGCAGCAGCAGCAGCAGCATCAACAGTAGCGGCAGCATCATGCGCTTCTGCGTGTGGGTCCCTGACGTGTCTCCGCTGGAGACGAACGATCCCAGGGAGCTGCTGCCAGTGGAGGCAGCGGGGCCGGTGGAGTTGAAGGTCCTTTCAGAGGCCTTTGAGGCCCAAGCTGCTCGCGGGCCTGATGAGGCGCCGACGGTTGCCTGTGCGTACACTGCTGCTGCTGCTGCTGCTGCTGTTGCTGCTTCTGACTCTGCCGTTGCTGATGCTGCTTCTGGTTCTGTTGCTGCTGATGCTGCTTCTGGTTCTGTTGCTGCTTCTGTTGCTCCTGCTGTCTTTTTTGCTTCTGTTGCTGATGATGCTGTTGCTGCTGCTGCTGCTGTTTGTAAACTGCAGCACGACAGGCCCCTAGACTCTGTTGCTGTTGCTGCTGCTGCAGCAGCAACAGCTGCTGCTGCTATGCTTTGTTGCGGCCTTCTATCTCCTATTCAGTGCATGCATGGTGTACTGTCTTTGTGTTTGGTTTGCTGTCGTGCAGCTGCGCTGTTGACGAGCGGCGTAGCAGCAGCAGCAGCAGCAGCAGCAGCAGTATCTGGTGGTGGGGGGCCCCCCGGGGAGACAGCTGCTGAGGGACGGCCTGCCAGTTTAAAAGAAGTTGTTTTTCTAAGGAGTCCCCCAGTGGTGTTTGTGTTTGACTTGGTAGAGAGCGGGCGTCAGGTGTATAGGCAGCTTTGCTTCTCTTCTTCTCTTCGTTCATCGTTTGATTGCTGCACGACAAAGAGGCTCTCGCCTCCCTCTGAGGAGACACCTTCAGAGGCCCCTGAGCTTGCAGCAGGCTCCATGTACACTGCACCAGACCTGGGTCTTGCTTCAGAGGACGACATAGCAACAGCAGCTGCTGCTGTTGTTGCAGGCGGCAGAGAGGACGCTGCTGCAGCAGCAGCAGCAACAGCAGCAGCAGCAGCAGCGAGAGAAGCAGGCCTTCAGCAGGCCTCTTCAGGCCCAGATGCAAAGGGCCTCTTTGCTCCTTCTCTAGTAGTTGCGAGGCGTAGGGGCCCCGGGGGCCCCCGTGAGATGTATATACCTTCTCGCCATCTCCGGGTGCGTTAAGGGGGTCTGGAGACAGCATAATTATATGTCTTTCTCTCTTCTCTAAGCATCATAAAGAAGGCCTTCTATGTCTTCCGCTCTGCGGGCAACGCGACCTCCTGGTGTTGTGGGGTCGTGGGAATCGTGTGGGGCTTTGTAGGATCGGCCGATCCCGCCTCCCGCAGCATCCTGCGTATGTGTGTATGTCCATGTGTATATATATATGTGTGTGTATGTGTGTATGTCTCCCTGCTGCTGCTGCTGCTGCTGCTGTGTGCAGGGTCTGCTTCCTTTCTGTCTGCTGGAGGACTTTGAGTTTTGGTTATGTGAAGAGCTGTCTCTTCTCACTGGCTATCAGCGCCCTCAAGCAGCAGCAAAAACCCTCAATCCCTTTCGGCTGTATGTACACCTCATTCATACAGCAGAGGGGACAGGGCTCTGTGCAGAGGCGAGCGCTATTGTGCGGAGAGTAGGCCTCAAGCCCCGCAAGCAGCAGGCGTCTAAGACAGCTGCCACCTTCAGCAGCAGCAGCAGCAACAGCAGCAGCAACAGCAGCAGCAGCAGCAGCAGGTGTTACCCGGAGGATGAGGAGGATCCTAGTGCGCCGGAAGAGACACTTGTGAATCTGCTGCTAGCGCCTGAAGGGTCTCCTGTCTCTCATCTAAGAGACAGTCTCCTTAGAGTGGAGGCCCTCAGCCACATTCTTGTCTGGACCAGAGCAGCAAGGAGACCCCACACCCCACAAGACACAGACGCCCTCTCCTGCGATGCTGGGAGTATAGATGCGATTGAGCTGCCACGGTAAGATCCTCTCCTGCTGCAGCAACTGCTGCTGCAGCAAATTATGCTGCTGAGACTGCCGCTGTTGCAGATGATGATGCAGTAACTGCTGCAGCAGCACATGATATTGCTGCTACTCCTGCTGCAGGCGCAGGACAAGTAGTGTTTGTATCGTATCCCAGGTTGAGCGGTGCTTTCTGCTGCAACTGCTGCAGCAGCAGCTGCTGTATTTGAAGAGGGGCAGCAGATACACAAGAGGGGGCCTCACTGACGCTGTGGGGAGCGTTGAGGTGCCTATACACCTGAAACACAAAGCAAAGCCCTTGTCTTCTGTCTCTGTCTGCATGCAGCCTGGGCGTCTCCTTTAAGGCGGTGCGAATGCCTCAGCGTTCCTCCGCCCCCCAGCAGCAGCAGCAGCAACAGCAACAGCAACAGCAGCAACAGCAGCAACAGCAGCAGGGCCCGCAGGTGAAGCTGGTGTGCGAGCAGCATGCGGGGCTGTTTTTAGCTTCTGGAGACATCTTGAGGTCTCCTCTTGCAAGTCGGGTGCTGCAGGGCTTGCAGCCATCTTTGCTGCTAACGAACGATGAAGGAGAGCTGTTTGTTCTTCTTGCTGCTCTTAATAAACCCCTGAGAGTATTGCATAACCCCTTGGCTAGGCATTTGCTGCTGGGCCCAGAGGAGCTCGCAGCAGCAGCACCCACTGCATCCCCTGTCGCTGCTGCTGCTGCCGCTGCGGCGGCGGCGGCTGCTGCTGCTGGGAATGCCGCTGCTACTGCTGCTGAGGCGCTCTCCCTCAACCCCTGGGCTGCAGCACAGAGACAACGCGAAGCCGATCAACGGCTGCTGCAGCAGGCAGACCTTGTGAGAAAGAGAGCACCAGAGGGTGTGGGGTTTGGTGTATCCTTGTTGTTATAAAGCTGCTGCTGTCTCCTCTAGTGCCTCCTTTCTCTGGGCAGGACGAAGCGCTTGTGGGGAGGGGGAGCTGCTGCTGCGCATACACCTGAATTATGCTGGTGCGGGTGGGTGATGTAGAGTGTCTCCATGTCTCCTTCTGCTGCATGTTGCGGGTCTGCTGCTGCTGCTGCTGTTGCTGCTGTCTCTTCAGGTGCTGGATGCGGTGTCTCCTGAGGTAGTGTTTGATCCGTGCGACAGCAGTTGGGTCTCTTCTTTTTCTGGTGCTCGGCACTGTCTCTGCAGCTTGCATGCATCTCGCTCCTTTCTCTTTATCCCCACAGTTGCTGCTGGGCTGTATGTGCTGCTGCTGCGATATCTCAACCGCCAGTTTGAGGCATTTTGCACCCTTGCGGATTCTCTGTCTCTTTCGGAAGAAGACGGAGACACCAGCAGCAGCAGCAGCAGCAGCAGCAGGGGGAATGCAGCAACAGCAGCAGCAGCAGCAGCAACAGCAGGGGAAGAAGCAGAGATGTGGAGACACATTAATGCTGTCATGGGCCGATGCCCTGACCCTCATCCGGATGCTGTTGCTGCTCGTCTGCGTCTGTGGCTCGCAGCAAACCGTCAGGGTCTAACTGCTCACCCAGCAGCAGCAGCAGCAGATCTCCAGCAGCAGCAGCAACAGCAGCAGCAGCATCAGGAGCGCGAGGGTAGCGGCAGTAGCACCAAGCCAAGCAGCAGCACCAGCAGCAGCACCAGCATCCGCGGCAGCACCAGCAGCAGCAGCAAGTGGGGACGCTCTTCTCGAAGTATGCAGTGGACGAAGCGTTTTGGGGGTATATTAAATAGGCCTTGGGGAGTAGGGCGATCCCCGGAGTCCCTTCCGGGTGTCTCTGTGGGGTGCCGCCGTGCTGCACGCATTGATTCTGCTTGGCCTCTTGCGCAAGACATCCTTGCGTATGTAAGGAGACACCCCTTTGTCTCCTCTGCTTGTCGTCTCCCCCTATCAGAGGAGCTTGAGCTGCTGCGCCTGTGTCCCTCCAGCCACCAGTCTATAGCAGAGGTAGCAAACCGACAGGCTGTGCTGGAGGCGCTGCTGCAGCAGGACAATGCTGCTGCTGCTGCTGCTGCAGCAACAGCAGCAGCAGGAACGGCAACAGCAGATGGAACGGATGGAGCTTCGCTAAAGTGGGATCGATCGATCCCCAGGGCCCCAAAGGAAGGAGGAGACAGGGAGCGGCTGCGTTTGCTGCTGTCTGTAGAGGGGGCACAAGCAGTGCGGGTGGTGTCTCCTTCCCTACCTCCTGTTGAAGACTTCGATGCTGTTGAAGACATTACGGCCCTTGCTCCTTTAACTTGCATCTCTACGCTAGTAGATGCATGCGGGGGGTCTCTGGTGTACAGACGGCCGGAAGAGGAGACACTTAGAGGAGCGGAGGGTCTTGAGTTTATTAGCAAGACAATCGAGCGAGGTGTGAAGACAGCAGATTTCTTGCTGCTTTACGAGCTGCTAACAGACTGTCTCCCTCTTCGGGTGTCTCCAGGAGAAGCCCCGCGTCTGTGGGGCGCGCTGCTGCTGCGGTGTCTCCCCACCTGGGAGCTGCGCAGCAAGAGCCGTCTCATATCTATCTTGCGGTTGCTGCTAGCAAACCCACATCTTGCGGGCAGCTTCCCTAAGCTGCAGGAAGAGAAGAGACTTAAGCTGCCTCTGGGGCTTGCTCTCCGGTCTCCTGAGCCTCTCCAGCAGTTGTTTAGAGATATCAGCACTGCTTTTACTCATCTTAGAGACACTGCGCAGCTAAGGATGCCTCCAGTGCTGCCAGAGGGGCTGCTGGGGACCCCCCCTGACTCCACAGCAGTAAGAGAGAGGGCCTCGCGGTGTCTCCTCTACTGTCTCTCTTCCTCTGTCTCCTTCTCCTGCTATACCTCCTTCACTGTCTCTTTTGTTCAGAATCACTCTGCTTCCTTTGTCTCCTCCCCGCTGTCTCCAGCTGCTTCTGTCTCTTCTTCTGTCTCCTCTACTGTCTCCTTACCGCCTCCTTGTTGTCTCGGCTACTGTCTCCTTTGCTGCCTGCTCAATGGCCCCTTACTGTTTCATTGTTCGCCCAGCTGTTTACTGTCTGCGTGCTGGCGTCTCTCTGTCTCCTTAAGCGTCCCCTCAAGTGTCTCCTTACTGTCTCCTCAGCTGTCTCCTCAGCTGTCTCCTTACTGTCTCCCTAACCGTCCCCTCAACTGTCTCCTTACTGTCTCCTTACTGTCTCCTTACTGTCTCCTTCCTCAGGTGTTTGGGCCTTCCCACTGGACTCGGCGTTTCCTTGTGTCTCCTCGAGCAGCAGATTGCTCTTGCGAGAGGCGTTTGCTGCTGCCTGTAGACGGGGCGCAGTATGCACCCGTGATGGAAGCAGCAGCAAGTCTTGCTGCTGCTGGTGCTGCTGCTGTTGGTGCTAGCGGCAGCAGCAGCAAGACGCAGGAGGAACTGCTGCAGGAGGCGCGGGCAGCAGCAGCAGCAGCAGCACGAGAGGTGGTTGTGGGGCCCGAGCTGCTGGGTGCCCTTATAAGGAGGCCTTTAGAGACAGTTGTTGGGAGCTCTCTTATCTGTTATGATGCTGCTGCTGCTGCTGCAGAGGAGACACAACAGGGGCGTCTCCCTTTTGATTTGTCTCTTGATCCTGTCTCCAAGACGGGAATAGGCAAGAGGACAATTCAAAGACTCCGCAAGGAAGTAGCAGCAAACGCTAAAAAGGTGCTTTTGCTGCTGCCGCTGCTGCTGCTTTTGTTGCTGCTGGGGCTGCTTGTGCTGCTGCTGTTGCTGCTGCTGCTGCGCGTGGTTGATAGCGTTTCCTGCTGCTTCTCTTGGGCTGTTGTTTGTGTAACAGCTCTGGTGCTGCAGCTGTTGCTGTTGCTGCTGCAGCAGTTGCGGCAGCAGCAAATGCGTGCGTGGGGTGTACATGTGGTGTATTGCATGCGTTTCAGCAGCAGGAGGCATCTTGCCGTCTGTGTCTCTCTGGATTTCGTCGTGAAGAGATAGCTAGTTTGCTGCTGTCTCCTCGTTCTCTTGCTGCACGTGTCTCCGATTTAGCTGCGCTGCGGCAGCGGCTGCTGCAGACCTTTATGCAAGATGGCCGCTTCACTGAGAGGGGTATTCGTCTCCTTCAGGCATTGGTGTCCCACGTGCACGGCCTTGACGTGCAGCAGCAGCAGCAGCAGCAGCAGCAGCAACAGCAGCAGCAGCAGGGAGAGCGGCAGGAGTTGCTGCTGGCAGCAATGCAGCACCAAGAGGATATTGAAAGAAATTGCCTCAGCTCGTACAAACTCAGCTGCATGCAGTGGGCCCATGTACTAGGGCGAGCAGCAGGGACAGAAGCAACTGTCTCCTTTGAGGCTCTAGTGTCTCTTTCTATGTCGCAGCACGGGGAGGAGACCCTGCTGCTGCTCAACCCTTTCCTCACACCTCGTAAGCTGTGCCCCTTCCTCCTGCTGCTGCTGCAACTGCTGCTGCAGCGGCTGCTGGTGCTGCTGCTGGTACTGCAGCGCCTTGTGCTGCTGCTGTTGGCGTTGCCGCTGCTGCTGCGCTAACTGTGGGGCTGCGGATCCGGCTGGAGCTGCAGCAAACAGCACCAAGCAGCAGCAGCAGCAGCAGCAGCAGGTTGTGCTACCTATAGTAGTAGATCTTTTCCCCGGAACGCCGGCCAGTGAAAGGGCAGCTGCATGCATATGAGAGTATTAAACAGAAGGAGACTGCTTCTGCTGCTGCTCCTGCTGATGCTGCTCCTGCTGCTGCTCCTGCTGATGCTGCTCCTGCTGCTGCTGCTGCTCCTACTGCTGCTGCTGCTGCTGCTGCTGCTGTGTCTCTGCAGAGATGGTTCGGGATATCTTTAGCCTTGTGGGGGCCGTCATGCTGTCAGTCAATCGCCGGGCGCAGGTCTGCCGCTGTCTCCAGGGGACACTCGAGTTGATGCAGCTGCTTAAAACCTTCTCTACTCGTGCAAGAGCAGCTGCAGAGGAAGATAGAAAGCCGCAGCACGTGCAGCAGCAGCAGCAGGTGCAGCAGCAGGTGCAGCAGCAGCAGCAGATGCTGCTGCAGCCGAGGTTCCCAGAAGGGTCGGATGCAAAAGGCGGGGCAGCAGCTCAAGCTGCTTCCCTGGGTGCAGCATTACCAGCAGCAGCAGGGACAGCAGCAGCAGCAGCAGATGTGGGCCCTGCAATGAAGAAACTCTTGTCTCAGGCTGTCCCTGCGCTGCACATGAAGGCTCAGTCTGTAGCAGAGCTAGTAAGCAGCGGGAGGCACTTCATGCAGGAGCTGTCTCCGGAGACAGCTGCTGCTGCTGCTGCTGCTGCTGAAAGGAGTAGCTGTACTGCTGCTGCTGCTGCCGTACCGTTGAGCCCGGGTGGTGAGACAGCCGCTGGTGAAGCATGGGGGAGCAACAGCAGCAGCAACAGCAGCAGCAGCAGCAGCAGCATGGCAGCTGGAGCGTGTTTTGACCCTCGTTATTTGGTGTTTGAGTTTGCATATAGTTTGCTGCTGCGGCGGGCTCAGGTGCTGCTGCTGCAGCAGTTTCGTTCGAGTGTACAGGCAGGTTTGTCTTGCTGCCAGCAAATGATCATGGGGGCAGGGAAGACAACCGTTGTAGCACCGCTGCTAGCTTTGCTGCTTGCTGATGGGCAGCAGCTTGTTGTCTCTGTAGTCCCTCCTTCTTTGCTGCCCTTCTCTTGCTGCGCTCTTCGGGAGAGGTTCAGCGCTATCTTTCAGAAGAATGTCTTCGTTCTTTCATTTTGTCGTGAAGATGTTTTGTCTCCTGGGCTGTACATGAAGCTGCTGCAGATAAGAGACAGCCGAGGAGTGGTCGTCACCACCCCTGCAGCAATCAAATCCTTGCTGCTTAAGGCCCTCCATCTAATGCATTTCTTGCAAGCCGCTGCAGCAGAGACTGCAGCAAAGGGGACGCTTAAGAAAAGTATTTCTGCTGTTGAAGCAATCGGTGCATCTCATCTCCGCAAGCTTCAATCGCAACTCTCCAGGCTCCTTAGAATGCCCAGAGCCGGTCCGCAAATATACTGTCTCCTTCTCTGTCTCCTTCTTCACTGCCTCCTTTTCTGTCTCCTTTTCTGTCTCCTTCTCTGTCTCCTTCTCTGTCTCCTTCTTCACTGTCTCCTTTTCCGTCTCCTTCTCTGTCTCCTTTTCTGTCTCCTTCTTTGTCTCCTATTCTGTCTCCTTTTTTGTCTCCTTCTCTGTCTCCAGCAGCAGCAGCAGCATATCTGTGCATAATCTATGATATGATATTTGTGCAGCATCGGGTTCATCTCTGGACGACATGGAGTCAGGAGCAGCAGCAGCAGCAGCAGCAGCTTCTTCTTCTTCTTCTTCTTCATCATCTATTCTTACAGAGCAGCAGCTACGCAGCTGCCGCCGTGAATTAGATATGTCTTTGAGGGTATTGGAGTTATTTAAGTCCGGCATTTTAATTGTTGATGAGATCGACGAAGTGCTGCACCCTCTTAAGAGCGAGCTGCACTGGCCTATGGGTCAGAGACAGCCCTTAGACTTCACTGCTGCTCCTGGGGATGTCTCCCTTGCTGCATCTACATCTTCTGCATCTGCTGCTGCTGCTGCTGCTGCGCAGCAGCAGCAGCAGCAGCAGATCCAGCAGATGCAGACGCAGCAACAGCAGTCTGCTGCTGCTGCTGCTGCTGCAGCAGCAGCAGCTGGTGCTGCTGCTGCAGGAATCTCTGAACCCCTTATCTCCCCCAGGCAAATAGAAGAGCCGCTGCTGTGGCTGTTCTGCAGCGAAGAAGGCATGCGGTGGCAGCTCCCCTGGTTTCTGCTAGACCCTATCTTCTATTTCTACACGTAAACCCTAAACCCTAAACCCTAATCTAAACCCTTATTTCTAAACCCTTATCTCTAAACCCTTATTTCTAAACTCTTAAACCCTCAATCCATTCCAAACACTGAGGGATCGAGGCTTAGGCTGGAGGGTCTAGGGTTCAGTATTAGGGGTTTAGGGTTTAGGGTTTAGGGTTTAGGGTTTAAGATGGTTATAGCAGCTCTGCTGAGGTGTACTGGCAGGTGAGCAGCAGCAACAGATGGTCGTTTTGCTGCTGCATTTTGCTGCTGCATTTTGCTGTTTGTGTGCAGCGGGAAGATAACTGTCTCTTGTACAGGGACAGCAGAGACGTGGCGTTTGTTGGGTTTGCTGCGGCAGCAGCTGCAGCAGGGAGTGCAGCAGAAGGTGCTGCAGCAGAGTCCGCATTTGCTGCTGCTGTCTCCTTCTTGGTATCACGACAACCTCAAGCCGCTGCTCGCCTCCTGGCTCTGTCTCTTCTTTAAAATAAAAAAGATTAAGGGAATAACGCAGCAGCAGCAGCAGCAGTACATCGTGAGTCTACAACAGCAGCAGCAAAAGGAGACAGCTGCTGAAGACAGCAGCAAACGCACCAGCAAATGCTGCTTCGGTTGCTAGGAGGAGACACGCGAAACTAGCAGAGACACAGTAGAGACAAACAAGAGACAATTAGCAGTACACGTACAATTGGCGCATGGCGAATGTGTCTCCTTGCTGCAGCAGCAGCAGCAGCAGTGTGTCTCCTTGCTGCAGCAGCATGAATGTGTCTCCTTGCTGCAGCAGCATGAATGTGTCTCCTTGCTGCAGCAGCACGAATGTGTCTCCTTGCTGCACCAGATGTATCTCTGCGCGTGTGCGTGTGTGTGTGTGGCGTTGCGCTGCTGCTGCTGCTGCTGCTCCTGCTGCTGCAGCTGCTGCCGCTGCACATATGCCCTTCGAATTCAGCGGCAGGGTTTGCAGGAGACAGCGGAGGAGACATTTATACGGATTTGTTTGCTGCTGTAGAGAGACTGCCAGACAATCATCTGAAGACCCTCAACATAGCTAGAGAGTGGTTGTGCTCTTTGCTGCCTCATGTGCTGCAGAAGACAAACCGCGTTAAGTAAGACAACTGTCTCCTGGCTCTGTCTATTCATCTTACTTGCTGTGTCTCTTCCTCCCAACTGTCTCCTTTTGCTGTCTTCTTCGTCTCTCAGCTGTCTCCTGTTGTGTGTCTCTCCCTCCCAGCCGTCTCTCCCTCTGTTTCTCTGTTTTTAAGCTGTCTCCTTTTGTTTGTGTCTCTTTATCTGTCTCCTCCTCTTCCTTTATATCATCTCTGCTTTGTCTCTTCTTCTTTGTCTCTTCTTCTTTATCCCATTATATTAAGCTTAACTTTATCAATGTGTAACTGTCTCCTTTTCTGTTTCTTTGCGGGGTGTCTCCTTCTCTGTGTCTCCGCTGCACATTGAGTTTCTGTCTCTTTCCACTTGGGCCTGAGGGCGTAGAGAGACCGCCAGACATCTGCTGCTGCTGCTGCTGTTTATTGTTTTTATTCTTTTTGTTTTTCTCTCGCTGCTGCTGCACCTGCTACACATTACAGTCTCCAATCCCTAAAAGCCCGTCCTTCACAGCCTCACTTCCGCTGCTGCTGCTGCTGCTGCTGCTTTTGCTGCTTCTGCTGCTGCTGGTGCTGTGCTGCAGCTACGGGTTGCTGACTGGTGAAGAGATAGACGAGGGGTTGCTGCAGCGAGTCTCTCTTCCTGCTACTCGGCAGCTTTTAGCTGTCCCCTTCATAGGCAAAGACACTCCTTCACTTGCTTCTGAATTCTCTCACCCTGATGTGCTGCTAGGATTAACAATATTAGCATATAGATTGCAGGGTCTGAGGCCAAGAGATTTATACTGTCTCCTCAAGCATCAGCTCGCTCGCATGGAGACAGCTGCTGGGCCCCCTGCTGCTACACCTGCAGCAAAAGAGTTTGCTGCATGGGTGTGGGCAGCAGGCGGTAGAGTTAGGGGTCTCCACAAGCACACACAGCGTGAGGATCTATGGGTAGGGGATCTCAAGATACTTGCTGCAGACACTGCAAACAAACAGCAGCAGCAGCAGCAGCAGCAGCAGCGGGGGGTGCTGCAGCAGCAGCAAAAGGAGAGAAAATGCTGCAGCGAATGGCCGGGTGCATACACCAGAGGAGACAGCAGCGTGGAGACGAAGCAAAGCGGCGAACTCGCTCTAGCCCCTCCAGCAGCAGGAGCAGCAGTAGCAGCTGCAGGAACAGCAGCAGGAGCAGCAGCAGCAGCAGGAGAATGCGGGGAGATAAGAGAAGAGTACGAGAAGATGTATCCATTAGAAATGCTGAGTCTAACAGATGAGGAGCATTTGGGGTGTCTGTACAGCTTGATAAAGAAGGAGCCGCTGGCTATTGCAGTATACTTATTCCGCTATGTATTGCCTTCTGTCATGATGCATGCAGCATTTCAGCTGTCTGCATCAGGACAAGAGATAGGAGGAGACAGTCTCTTTTCAATTCGTATCGGCTTCTCGGGTACCCCTTCAGAGCTATTACCTGAAGGTATGGGGCCCTGTCATTATGAGGAAGGGACAGACGGCCGCGTGCTCCAGCTGCTGTCGTCTCCTTCTGTTGTCTCCTTTGAATTACTGTCTCCTTCTTGGACTGTCTCCTCGTTGCTGCAGCGGGTAGCCCAGCAGCAAGATCCCCCCGTGCATGCATTGATAGATACTGGGGCTCTTATATGCGGCATCAGCAATTTTGATGTAGCGCTGCTGCTGCTGCAGCAGGGGCTTCCGCATGCAGATGGAGTTGTTTTCCTTGATAATAGAGACAGACAAAAAATACTTGTTAGAGATGGGTTGAGGGTTATGCAGCTATCAGAGTGCGGCTTAGCCCCAGAGAGACGCTTCTCCTTCTATGATCACGTCCACACCACAGGACAGGTGTCTCCTTCGCTCCTTTGCTGCTGCTGCTTCTGTTGCCTCTGCTGCTGCTGCTGCTGCTTTTTGCTGCTGCTGGCTCTCGAACTATACGCGCCTGCTGCTGCTGCTGTTGTTGTTTGTGATGATGGGTTTTTTTCTGGTGTGTCTGTCTCTCCTTTTCTGTCTCTCTGTCTCCCTCTCTCTCTCTCTCTCTCTCTCTCTCTCTCTCTCTCTCTCTCTCTCTCTCTCTCTCTCTCTCTCTACTGTCTCTATCTAGCTATCTATCCATCTATCTGTGTATCTATCCATCTATCTATCTATCTGTCTATCTATCTATCTGTCTATCTATCTATCTGTCTCCTCCAACAATATCGGTTGGTGTTTGTCTGTGGGGTGTCTCCTTTGGTGTCTCTTCAGGACATTAAGCAGGCAGCAGATGGCCGAGCGTTTGTTACATTAGGCAAAGACTGCACATTTAGAGACATCGCTCAAGGGGCCTTTCGCATGCGGGGCTTAGGGAGGGGACAGACACTGCATTATCTTATACCCCCGGGTGTTGCTGCTCTTATAGAAAACCACGCTCGCCTTGTAGGCGCACTCGCTCCATCAGCCTCACTGTTTAACCAGCAGCAGCAGCAGCAGCAGCAGCCGCAGCAGCAGCAGGGTCTGCAGCTGCACGTGCAGCAGCAGCAGCAGCAGCAGCAGCAGCAGCAGCAGTTTGCACCGGGATGTTCGTTGCTGGGGGAGATTTGCTGCTGGCTGGTGTCGAGACAAATAGCAGAGGAGTGCCTGCAGCAGCGGCTGCTGTACGTACAGAGCGCCAGCAATGTCTGGAGGAAGGCTGCGTTGCTGCTGCTAAAGGAGACACATGCAGCCCTTGGCACTGACGAAGTGTCTCCTTTAACTCAACAGGCCCTCGCCGTCTTTCTCGAGCCTCTGGACTTCTCTGTCCCCTCTCGAATCCCACTGTCTCTTCCTCTTAGTCTTAGGGTTCGGAAGGCTGCACTGCAGCATGAGGATCTGCTGCAGGCAGCAGAAGCAGCAGCAACAGCAGCAGCAGCAGCAGGCGCAGCAGCAGGGGGGGAGGCGGGGATCCAGCTAAGGCCGCACCAGCTAATAGATAAACTCGTGGGGCTGCTGGAAGAAGAAGAAGCAGCAGCAAGGAGACAAGCAGCAACAGGCAGCAGCAGAGAGACAGGCGGAGATGCCCTTCGGCTTGAGGGGCTCGAAGCAGAGATTGAAGGCGAGGAGCAGCAGCAGCAAGAAGAGGAACAGGTGAGCAGCAAGCAACACGGCTTCAGCATGGGTTGCTGCTGCTGCATGCGACGCTCTCCTTGCAGGAGCAGCAGCAGCAGCGGCTTCTGCTGATGCTTCTGATGCTGGTGCTGCTGCTATTTGTTCACTGAGTGCTGCTGCAGCCACGTTTGTTGTTGCTGCTGCATGCAATGCTCTCCATACAGCAGCAGCAGCAACTACTGGTGCTGCTGCTGCTTGTGTTCCTGCTGTTGCTGCTGCTGCTGGTGTTTGTGTTGCTGCTGCTGTGATTTTATTGGGCGCTGGGGGCGTGGCGTGTATTGTTGTTGCTGCAGGAGCAGCAGCAGGAGATAGAGCAGGAGAAGCAAGAGGAGACAGTGCAGGAGACAGAAGAAGCAGCACCTTTAAATTATACTCGAGCTGGAGAGACACCCCGCCCTTGGCTAATAGCTTCACTGTCTCTTGACCCTCAAGAGGAGACACAAGGATTTTACTCTTCTTCAGGTTTTTCTGTTGCTTCAGCACTGCAGCAGAAGCTGGCGCGGCTGCAGCAGCAGAAAGGATCGTCCGGTGCTGCAGCAGCAGCAGCAACTGCAGCAGCAGTTGCTGCTGCTGCTGTCTCCGGAGGAGGTACTGTCTCTGCTGCTGCTTCGGGCCTTCCCTTCCCTTCTTATCTCCTCATCAGCAGCAACTACTTCAAAGGCGAGTGGTTGTTCTCTTCAGCTCCGCGCAGATTAAAAAATGTTATTCTTGTGATGCAGTGGGTGCCCGATTGGCAGAAGGCCCAGCAGCAGCAGCAGCAGCTGCAGCAGCAGCAGCAGCAGGTGCTGCAGCAAGCTTTTGAGTGCTTCACTCACGGAGACACGGAGACACTTGCTGAACGCGACCTCCCAGATTTCCTTGGGGCTTTGCTGCTTCCTGCTGCAACACCTGCTGCTTTAGAGTCCCTTTGCTGCTACATTAAGGCCCTTGTTCTGCAGCAGCGCGCGGCTGATGCTGCTGCTGCTGCTGCTGCTGCAAAGCCCTGCAACAGCAACGGACCCCTAACAGTAAACCCACCCATCAAAACCTCTAGAGACACCCCAGCGCTGCCTCAGCCCTCTGCTGCATGCACACAACCATCTGGTGCTGCAGCTAAGCAGCAGCAGCAGCTTTCTGTGCTACAGAACCTGTGGCAGCCGCCTACTCCCCCTGCTCTAAAGCAGCAGCAGCAGCAGCAGCAGCAACAGCAGCAGCAGCAAGCCACTGATCCTCTTGCAGACCTTTTCGGGTCTCTGTCTGGAGGAGACAGCAGCAGCAGCAGCAAAAAAGGAGACACCTTTTCTCCCCCCGCTCCTGTCTCCTCCCCTCTTTCGTTCTCAAAGGATCAGAGCGACCTACTGGGCCTCTTCGACTTCGCGGAGCAGCAGCAGCAGCAGCAGCAGCAGCAGCAGCAGCAGCAGCAGCCGCACAGTGTATTGTCTTCCGCCTTCGCCTTCCCTCCCTCGTCTCAAAATGCCAGTACTCCTTTAACTTCCCAGGCGCCTCAGCAGCAGCAGCAGCAACTACAACTACAGCAGCAACAGCAGCAGCAGCAAGAAATGCAGTTTACATTGTCGGAGTTGTCTGCAGCCCTTTCGGTGTCTCCTTTCTGTGCTGAGCAACAGGGGCGTTATTTTGTGGTCCTGACGCTCGCAGAAGGCGAGGCAGTGAGAGCTGCTTTGCATGCGCGCCAGCGACAGCAGCAGCAGCAGCAGCAGCAGCAGCAGCAGCAGCGGGAGAGGGGAGAGGAGGTTTCTTTTGTGGCTGGGCATCGCGTTGCAGTGTGTCTGCACAATCTAACAGCAAACTTTGCGATGATAGATGGATCTCCTTTATTTAACCGGAGAGACGAGAGAGTTGCTGCTGCTGCAGGACTGCAGCAGCAAACAGCGCATGCATGCCTGCGCTTCATTAACAGTCATATGCAGTATGCGGAGCCCCATTTGCTGCTGCTGCAGCGGGTCCTCTCGGGTGTCTCCTCTAAAGACAGACAAGACTTCTTTTTCTCAATTCGTCGCTGCAGGAGACGGCAGCAGCACGTGCCTTGGCAGCAGCTACCTGTAGCTCAGCTGCTGCTAGCAGCAGATGGGGGATCGCAGCTGCTGCAGCACAAGGCCTTTGTTACGCGCCTGCGCGAGAGACTAAGGAGGAAGCATCTGTCTCCTTATGAAGCCTTCCGCCTCTTCGATGTTCTTAATAAGGGACAGCTAACGCATGCACAGTTTGCTGCTGGTCTACGGTGGCTGGGGCTGCAGCTGCAGCAAGACAAGGAAGCAGAGGTCTCCAGCTCATTTGACTTAGATGGAGACGGATTCATTAGCCTCAACGACTTCCTCCTATCTGTAGTACAAACAGGGGGAGACACAGCAGCAGCAGCATCTGCTGCTGCTGCTGCAGCAAACGCTGATGCTGCGCCACCAGAAGGAGGAGCTGCTGCTGCCCAAGGTCCCCCTGGGCACGTCGCGCTGCAGCAGCAACGGAGCGAGGCCTTTGATGGCGCCTCTACTGCTGCTGCTGCTGCTGCTGCACTGTCTGCGGATGCCTCTACTGTAGCAGCAAGCCAGGAGTCTCTGCTGCAGCAGTGGGGTGTAAAGGAGACACTTCCTCACGATTTGCTGTCAAGGCTCAAGTTTCGGCTGCAGCCCCACAGTTCATTCGAAAGGATTTGGGTGGGGCGGTTGCCCTGCGCAGACAGCAGCAGCAGCAGCAGCAGCAGCAGCAGCAGCAGCAGTGCAGTTTTCTCGATATGGGCCCCCAAGCAGCTGGAGAGTAAACACCGAGGGATGATGCGACGTAACAGGGAACGGATCCCGCTGGGGCATTTTCTGTGTGTGGGGAGCGACATATCGAAGCCGCAGCAGCAGGGAGCAGCAGACGGATCAGCAGGAGCAGCAGCAGCAGCAGCAGCAGCAGCAGCAGGCGGTGGGGGGGGCCCTTTAGTCCTAGAAGCAGCAGATGCAGGAGCTTCTTCTATGGCTGAGAGCGCAGCATTATCAAGGGCAATAGATTGTCTCTTTCCCTCTCCTATTACATACAAAGTAATATGGAAGGAGAGTGTCTCTCAAGCTATGTTGTTGCTCAACCGAGGAGACAGTTCTTCTGGTGTGGCTGGGGGCCCCCATGGGGGCCCTTCAGCAGCTCAGGGGGCCCCCAGTGGGGGGGGCCCCCTAACCCTGTGGGCCCCTGTCCCTCCTTCATCTCTCTTTGAAGCTTTAGGGGTCATTGCAACGCGGGGTAATACCCCTCCTCCCCCTAATGCTGTTCGATGTGTCCCCTCGAAGTGGTTGCGGCAAGCAAGTGTCTCCTTTAGGGTAGCAGAGGTAGCTGAGGGTCTCCAACAGACAAGAGGGGGCCCCTCTAGGGGCCCCCTTAATAAACTAGGGCTCTGGCAAGTTGGGTGCATGCGCCTTCTGGGTGTTACGCTGGAGACTGCAGAGGGGACACTGCATAGAAGTAAGTAACAAAGGGTTCGTGCAGCAGCAGCAGCAGCAGTAGCAGTAGCAGCAGCAGCAGCAGCAGCAGCAGCAGTAGCAGCAGCAGCAGCAGCGGCAGCAGCAGCAGCAGAAGCAGACAATGATGAGGGGTTTTAGGGGCCCCCACCCACTATCGTAACCCCGTTATTAATTTTTAGTATATGAGACAAAGACGGAGAAGGAGAGGCACAATACCTGCGCTGGAGACAACTACATTATTATTATATCTATACTATTATTATAATTATATATATATATATATATATATTGTTTATTATTTCTATTATTATGTTGTGCATGCATGCGAGTTGCTGCAGGCGGAGTCACTTGGGCGGAGTTTATTAACCCTGAGTTTAGGCTAAGACCTGCAGCTCCTGCTATCTCCTCAGCTTACATCCCTCCCACTATAAGCAGCAAAGGGGGGCCCCCAAGGGGCCCCTCTGGGGGCCCCCTGGATGTGCTAGAGAGCGCAGATGCAGCAGCAGCAAACGAAACACAAAACCCTAAGAGCCTTGCTGCAGCAAACGCACTTATCCCCGACATCATAACAAAGAAGAGCAGTATATGGTAGTAGGATAGTGTTTGTGTGTATGTTTGAGGTGTACGTACACCTGAAGAATGCAGCAAGGTTATGCTGCTGCTGTCTCTAATGCAGTGTTGGGGAGACAGGGGGTTTCTAACGCATCAGCAGTTAGTAGTGGCTGCTGCTTATCGTTCAACTGTCTCCTCTCCCCTGTCTCCTGTCTCCTTTTGGTGTATTCGTGCGGAGACAAGAGTCTCCGCTTCTGCACAGGGGCTCAAGCGCCTTTAGTGCTGCCTACCCCTTCTCAAGGAGACAATTAATATTTTGTTTTAATGCTACAACACCTCCAGCAGCAGCGCAAGCAGCAAACGCACAGCCAGCCGAAGCACAAGTAGCAACAGCAGACTCAGCAGCAGCAGCAGCAGCAGCAGCAAGAGCGGCAGCAGCAGCAGCAAGGCCTCATTAGTTTCTTGTGCCTCAAGCAGAAACGCAGTCAGTAGCACTGTCTCAAGGAGACAGGAGCAGACCGTAAATGCAAGTGAAAGCAGCAGAGACAAGAAAACAAAGATAATTACCTCTAAGCGTGCAATTAAACCATAAAGAGCTGCCTATACACCGCAGCAGCAACGGGAGTGTCTCCTTTTGAAAAGAGCTGTCTCCTGTAGGGCTTTACTCCTCTTCTTGAGATGATGCCACTGCCTGGCTCAGCCTTAAGGGCTCCAGTGTCTCCTCTCTACTCTTTTATGTCTCCTTTCTGCTCTCTCTTTACTGTCTCCTTTCGACTCTTGATTGTCTCCCCACTACTCTGCAGTGTCTCCTGCCCTGTCTCCTTTGTTTGTTACGCAGCTCCGACTGTCTCTAAATGCATCTATTTGTTCTTTTCTGTTTGGGGTTGCTAATATAAACTGCTAGCATGTAAATAATTAGTTTCAAGACGGAGACAGCAAAGCCAGAAGATAATAAGGAGACAGGAGACATCAGAAAGGGGGATAGGGGGAGGTGAGGAGACTCCTGGGGGCCCTCTCAGTGCGCGGTGTATCCGTAGGCGAAAGGAGACAGTAGGAGGAGACAGCACAGGGTGTCTCCTTTTCTGTCTCCTTTCTGCGCTGAGGTGTTATGAGAGGGAGAGAGACCCCGTAAGTTTATGAGATCATAGAGGAGACAAACAAGAAGATATGAAGGAGACAGATAAGGAGACAGACAGAGACAAGCGGGCAAAGGAAGAGACTGCAAAGAGACAAATAAAGAGACAGCAGATAAGGAGACAGATAGAGAGACAGAGAAAGAGACAGAAAAGAGATCATGCGACGGAGGAAGAAGAGACACATAAAGAGACAGCAGATAAGGAGACAAATAAAAGGGATAGAGGAGACAGATGGCAGCACTGAGGGGCAAACAAACAACACAAAGGAGACAAAGAAAGAAGCAATAAGAACAGAAGAAGAGACAGACAAAGAGAGACGACCAAGACCAGCACCACCTCTGCTGTGCGCGGGAGATAAGGAGACAGTTAGATGTTGCAGTGCATTTGAGGTGTCTCCTCAGCTCGCATCTAATCCCTAATCAACGCCCCTCAAGATCTTTCCGTCTCTGTTACCTCAATGACTGTCTGTCTGCTGTGTTTCCTTTATTATTATATTACTCTTTTATATTAATATGAGGGCTGGTTTTTACTAGGGGGGGACCGCAGCAAGAAGTGCTGCAGCAGAGGAGACACGGGGCACTGTCTCCTTTTAGCCGCAGCCCTTTGTGTTTGCTGCTGGACTCAACAAGGCTACAGACAAAAGGAGACAGAATATATATTAAGAAGATATTTATTCTATTCTTAATTCATTGAAGTACTCAGCTCTGCCCCAGTGGAGGGGGTGTCTCCTGTCTAGGAGACAGGAGGTGTCTCCTTTCTAGGAGGTAGGAGGTGTCTCCTTTCTAGGAGACAGAGAGTAAAGCAGCTCTGTGTAACAGAGAGAGACAGCTCTCCCTTTAGGAGACAGAGACAGATATCTCTTCATAACAAAGAGAGACAGCTCTTCTTTAAAATAGAAACAGAGAGACAGATTTTAATTTATTTTATGCGGCTATTCATGAGAGACAAGCTTCTAGGAGACAGAGACATATATCTGTTTGTCTCCTTCTCTAGGAGACGGATACATATAGCTGTCTGTCTCTTGTCTCTTCCTCTAGGAGATAGAGACAGAGAGTTCTTTATAAACACAAGCAAACAGCTGAATGCTATAGAGAGACAGGCAGCTCTTAATGAAGAAGAGACAGAGAGCTCTCTGCGAGACGGTGCAGCATCTCTTTGTTAAAGAGCTCTCTGTCTCTGCCTCCTAGAGAAAGAGACAAGAGACAAACAATTAGATGTCTCTGTCTCCTAGAGTAAGAGACAGACAGCTACATACGTGTCACAAATATTTAAATATATATATATATATATATAATATTAAGGAGACAACCCCCTAGGAAACAGAGACACGCAGCTCTTTATAAAGGAGACAGATATCTTCTAATAAACCAGAGACAGACAGCTCTCTATAACGAAGTATTTCTTTGCTAGAGACAAAACTCTAGGAGACAGAGGCAGACAGCTCTTTATAAAAAACAGAGGCAGACAGCACTTAAGGAGACAGGCAGAGACAGCTATGTATAGGAGACAACTCTCTACGAAACAGAGACAAACAGCTCTCTATAACACAAAGAGAGAGAGAGACAGCTCTTTATAAGAGACAGCTCTCTAGGAGACAGAGAGAGACAGCGCCTAATGAAACAGAGACAGACAGCTGTCTATACAAGACAGAGACAGACATCTTTTTATAAGGAGACAGCTGTTTATAACAGAGACAGTTCTTGAAGACATAGAGAGCTGTCTCTGCCCCTGTCTCCCTCTCTCATAGAGAAGAAGCTGTCTCCTTTTTAATAGTGCGAAGACACCATAAATGAAGAGACAGCTGTATATACAGTATAATAGAGAGACAAATGTCTCTAAACAAAGTATAACAGCTAATTAAAAATATTTATTTTATGATTATTGTATATTTATTTATAAACATAAAAACTATACATGAAGAGACTCCTCTACTGTCTCCTAGGCAAGCTGCACACCGGCCTGGGGTTAACAATGATGCAACAGAGAGGAGACAAATTCTGTCTCCTCAACTGCGGCAGCAGCAGTAGCTGCTGGTGCTGCTGCTGGTGCTGCTGCTGTTGCTGCTGCTGCTGCTGCGGTGAAAGTCAGCCTGCATGCACTGCATGCAATTCTTCTTTTTCTTTCGTTTTGTTTTTCGGAGACACCAAACAATGTGTAGCATAACAAAGACTTTTTACTGTCTCTTGCTGGCCTTCAGCAGCAAATACGATAGATATTAAATATAAATATATAATTATATATATGTATATATATATATAGAGAGAGATAAACAGAGAGAGAAGAAGTTACTATTACACTCTGCTGCTGTATGTGCTCGTGTCTACTGCGGGAGCAGGAAGGGGTTAATAGCAACTGTTTGCGGTGTATGTGCATCTGCATGCACTGACAATTGGGTTGGGTTTTCTGTTTGAAGGGGCAGCAGCAGTCTCCTTGATGCTGCAGCAGATGCTGCAGCAAGAAGGAGACAGCTGCTGCTGTCCCTTCAGCGTCAGCCTCTTTCCTATGCCGCTGCTCGCAAGCAAATAGAGACAGTATAAGAGTTTATAACTCTCGGGAGATTATAGCTGTAAGAAATCTCTTAGTTATTTCAAATCTGTTTCTGCTGCTGCTGCTGCTGCTGCTGCTGTTGCTGCTGCTGTTGCTGGTGTTTCAGCTGCAGCAAACTGCGTGGGGTGTAAAACGGAGAGAGGGACGCTACTACACAGAGAACAAGCATTACTTTAATATTTTTATTTATATTAATTATATTAATAAATTTGTTTACTTGTTTTACTCGTATTTATATACACACAAAGACAGCTAGTTTCTTATGCGAGCAGAGGCTGCAATTATATATTTTTATGAGTTTGTTTGAGGTGTATGGTGAATAAAAAGGTGCATTTCTAATTATTTCTTCTTCTTTATATTTAATTTAATTATAGTATTTTATTTATTTCTACTTGTTGCTGCTACCCTTGCAGCATAATAGACAGAGAGGGGAGTGGGTGCGTCTGCTGCAGCGCTGCTGCTGCCCCTGGGGCAGCAGCAGCAGCAGCAGCAACGAAGAACGGCTGCATTTGCTTTTCTTTTATATATTATAAATAGTTTTTTCTTTTATTTAAATTAAAAAAAGAAGAAGAAATACTGTTATAACTTAGCGCTGCATAAATTATTGCTCCTTTTCTTAAGCAGCCCCAGCGAGCGGCGCAGCAGCAGCAGCAGCAGCAGCAGCAACAGCAGCAGCAGCAGCAGCAGCAGTAGCACTTGTAGCACCGGATTCGTGGGGTCGTGGGGTGTGTGAGATCTGCTGCACGTGCTGCTGTGTGCCTGCTGCATATTTACACATAAGCATATTATATATCTTCTTCTTGCTTCAACAAACCGCAAGAACATCTTTGCTTCTTTGCTTTTCTTTTATATTGTCTAGAAGATGGTGGCAATTGTCGAAGTGAAGGCCAGAGAGATTCTGGGTAAGAGGTCTTCTTCATATTTAGACCCCTCCCTCTCTTTTTCTTTTTGCTGCTGTTGCTGCTGCTGCTGCTGCTGCTGCTGCTGCTGCAGCAAGAGTTGCTGCTGTTGCTGCTGCTGCTGCTGTTTCTGCTGTTTTTTCTGCTTCTTTTTATATACAGTTTTCCTTTTAGGGTCTCTCCTCAGTATACACCCGAGAGGAGACACTTGGGGTGTATGCACTTATTGTGGTGTATCTGCTGTATAAACTTTCTTTCATATCTTTTTTTTTGTTTTATATTACGATGTGTTATTAGCTCTGCTGCTGCTGTTGCTGCTGCTACTGCTGCTGCTGCTGCTAGTTAGCTGCTGTGTGTGTGGGGTGTATATTCCTCATTAACATGCATTTCTTCTCTGTCTTTCTGTCTCTTTATGGTGTATATACACCGGAAAGGTCTTTATACACCTCATCTCTTTGCTTCTTCATTGTATAGTATCATAATGCTTTAATCTCTTCTATAATGCTAAGTGTGTGTGTGTGTGTGTGTGTAAGTGTGTGTACGTCTATACATATATATATATATATATATGTAGGTAAACGTATATATATAGATATAAATGTATATATGTATCTATATACATATGCATGCATGCATGCATCAGCGTTTATTCTCTATAATATATCGTAGTTATTTTTGTTTTGCTCTGTATAGAGATTAATATATATATTATATATTATATATTTATATAGATATATTTATTATGTATATAAAACCCCTTCCTTCCCAAGTGAATTACTTCTTAACGAATAAATAAATAAATAAATAATACATTAATACCTCTATATGTATATATATATTTATATTTAATTATATATATTTAATTATATATTTATATATTTGTTTATTAATGCATGCAGACTCTCGCGGCAACCCTACAGTCGAGGTAGACGTGAAGACAGAGCAGGGCTGCTTCCGCGCAGCAGTGCCTTCCGGCGCCTCCACCGGCATTTACGAGGCCTTGGAGCTCAGAGACGGGGACAAGAGCCGCTTCAACGGCAAAGGTCTGCTGCTGCTGCTGCTGCTGCTGATGAAGCTGCTGCTGCTTCTATTCCTCCTGATGAAGCTGCTGATGAAGCTGCTACTGGTGCTTCTATTGCTGCTGCTGTTTTTTTCTTACTCGTGTTGCTGTTGAGATTTTTGCTGCTGGTCGGTACTACTACTGCTGCTGCTGCTGCTGTTTGTGTAATTGCTGCTATAATTGCTGCTGTTATGATGCGTTCAGGTGTACTGAAGGCGGTAGAGAATGTGAATAAAGTGCTAGGCCCTGCATTAGTAGGAAAAGATTGTCGGCAGCAGAAAGAGATAGACGATCTGATGGTGAAGCAGTTAGACGGTACAAAGACTGAGTGGGGATACACTAAAAATAAATTAGGTGCTAACGCAATATTAGCTGTCTCCATGGCTGTATGCAGGGCAGGTGCAGCAGCAAAGGGTATCCCTTTATATAAATATATTGCTGAGTTACGAGGCGTTAATACAGATAACTTTATCATGCCTGTACCTTGCTTTAATGTTATTAATGGGGGTAAGCATGCAGGCAATAAGCTTGCTATGCAAGAGTTTATGATAGCACCAACAGGCGCAACAAGTATAAGAGAAGCTATTAGATTAGGTGCTGAGGTGTATCAAGCTTTACAGAAATGTGTTAAGAGTAGATACGGTCTTGACGCTACTAATGTCGGTGATGAAGGAGGCTTCGCACCTAACATTAAGAACCCTAAAGAGGCTATGGATCTGCTTGTTGAAGCTATAAAGTCTGCGGGACATGAAGGCAAAATTAAGATAATGACAGACATCGCAGCATCCGAGTTCTTCGACGGTAATACTAAAAACTACGACTTAGACTTCAAGACGCCGAACAACGATAAAAGTATGGTGAAGACAGGACAGCAGCTCAAGGACGTAAGACATATATATATATATATATATTTATAAATACATTTATAAATATAAATCTATATATATATATATATATGTTTATTTATTTACTTGTTTATTGTATAGGGTATATTGTTATGTAATGTGTAGTGTTTTACTTTCAGCGGTTTATACAAATATGCTAATATGTACTTCATGCATATATATATATATAAATATATATATAAATATATATATATGTATATATATATATGAATATATATATGTATAGGTCTATATAATATATTTCATATATATATATATATACATCTAGATATCTATATATATATATATATTTATTCATATACATATATTTATTTCTTATTATTTGTAGTGTAATCAACAAATCAATACAAATATTTATATATATATCTTTATATATATATATAGAAACAAACATATTATATATATGTATATATATATATATATGTTTATTTATTTGTTTTCAGGTGTACAAGCAGTGGGCATCGGAGTATCCGCTGGTATCTATTGAAGACCCGTTTGATCAGGACGACTTCGCGTCTTATGCATCATTAACAAAGGAGATAGGAGACAGAGTGCAGATAGTCGGAGACGATTTGCTTGTAACAAACCCGACAAGAATAGAGAAGGCATTGAAAGAGAAAGCATGCAATGCATTGCTGCTTAAGGTTAATCAGATCGGAAGCATTACTGAAGCAATTGAAGCATGCAAGCTTGCGCAAGAAAACGGATGGGGTGTAATGGTCTCACATCGGTCAGGAGAGACAGAGGACTCTTTTATAGCAGATTTAGTTGTTGGTCTACGTACAGGCCAGATTAAGACAGGTGCTCCTTGCAGGTCTGAGAGACTATGTAAATATAATCAGCTAATGCGTATTGAAGAGCAGCTAGAAGGCCGATGCAAATATGCAGGCAGCAACTTCAGAGAGTTCACCGCTTAAATACCATATTCACCTGCTGCTGCTGCTGCTGCTGCTGCTGCTGCAGCAGCAGAAGGCCGTGGATTCGCGAAGGCAGCGCTGCGCTTGCAGCAGCGCCTGCTGTCTCCTTAAAGGAGACATGTTCAACCTGATGTTTTAATATAAACTAACTCTTTTTATACACAGAATTATCAAAGAAACATTAAAGGAGACAGCGTAAACAAACATAAGCAAGGATGTATACAGTGTAGACAGAGACAGAGATGTTGCTACAGGGTAGAGCAGCCTTAGACGCTATATCATACTATGGATCTCCTATTTGCTGCTGCTGCTGCAGCAAATGCTGCTGCATCTACTGCTACTGCGCGGGGTAGCAGCTGCTGTGCCTCCCCTCAGCAGCTATCAAAGCCCCAAAGTGTGTTGCATGCATGCGTGCAGCGACAGCTGCTGCTAGACAGAAGCACTTTGGGGTGTACAGACACCACCAAGCTGCGCTGTGTGCGGGTGCAGCAGCAAACTGGCTTTGGGCTTATATTATATATATATAATATATATAATATATAATATATACATATATATATATATTTATAAAGTGCAGCTGGAGCAAAATATAGTGTATATATGTATTCAAGTTAGTCCTATATATGTATCTTCGTTCTACGTAAGAGTATATAATATATATATATATATATATATATATTTATCTGATATATGTATATGCGCAATATATCTAGATGTATAGATTTCCTTTTTATTTCTCTACATGTATATCTGTAATATATATATATATATATTATATATATATTATATATGTATATTATATGTGTATATTATATATATGTATATATATAAATGTATGTATTGCCTATACTAATGGAACAGTGCTTGAGCTGCGCAAATATAATACTTAAAATGTAGGTCTATATATATACATATGTATATATATATATATATATTATATACATATATATATATGTATATGTATATATAGTATAAGAAAAGCTAAGCAAAAATAATGTCTGTCTCCGGTAGCCACTGGAGGAAGGGCTCGAGGGTAAACTCTACAACAGACACTGCACGAAAAAAGAGACAGGAGGAGACAAAAGGAGACAGATAAAGACAGAAGGAGACAGATGAAGACAAAAGGAGACAGACAGAAACACTTTTAGTTGCCTCTACCCCTTAGTACACTCGCAGCAGCAAAGGCAGCATAAGCAACAACTGCAGCAGAAGCAGCAATAAAGGCAGCAGCAGCAACAACAAAAAAAGGCAGCAGCAGCAGCAGCAAAGGCAACAGCAGCAGTAACAAAGGCAGCAGTAGGCAGCAACAAAGGCAGCAGCAGCAGCAAAGGCAGCAGCAGCAGCAGCAACAGCAACAGCAACAGCAGCAGCAGCAAGCAGGCTTGGCTTTCTTACCCGGTACAGAGAGACCGAATGCACGGAGACAGTCAACATGAAGGGTGCCCATCTGCCCTATAACGAATTTTTCTTGTGTCTCCTTAGCTGTCTCCTTTGCATTTAATTCTGTCTCCTTCGCCTTCTCTCCCTCTGCTCTGCATTTGCGCTGTACGACAATCTGCACCTGACGCCCCGGTAAGAATGTAGGCACTGGAAGGAGACAGCAGCAGCAGCAGCAGCAAAAGGAGACACATGCAGCAACAGCAGCAAAAAGAGGCACATGCAGCAGCAGAAACAGGAGACACACACATGAAGCAGCAGCAAATGGAGAAGGAGACACAGCACCAAAAGGAGACAAAAGCCGCAGCAACAGGAGACAGAGCAGCAACAGGAGACAGAGCAGCAACAGGAGACACGGCAGCAGCAAAAGACACCGCAGCACCAGGAGACAGATAAAAAGAAGCATGCAGCAATTCCTCTACATTAAACATATAACAACAGCAGCAGCAGCCGTAGCAGCAGGTGCAGCAACAGAAAGCATAGCAGCAGCAGCAGACGCAGCAGGCGGAGCAGCACGAGACAGAGCAGCAGCAGCAGCAGCAGCAGCAGCAGCAGGAGTTAAAGTTACGTTGTGTGGGTTTAAGCGAGTATACAGGGAGACGGCTGATATTCATCAAAGAGCTTTTGCTGTCTCCTTTTCCTGCGTTTGCTGCTGCCTGTCTCTCTGCAACAATATAATCAGCTACTAAACCCAACGCCTCCAGGGCTGCATCAAGAAGCCCGTGCACCTCCTACAAACCCACAAACCCTAAACCCTAAACCCTAAACCCTAAACCCTCAGCGGGAAGCTCTATTCAGGGGAGGTCCCGAAGACACCAAAACGCAAACCCTTTCGAACAAACCACAGCCAGCAGCAGCAGCAGCAGCAGCAGCAGCAGCAGCAGCAGGCTTAGCAGCAGTAGCAGCAGCAGGAGCACCTTCAGCAGCAACAAAGACAGAAGAAGAGCATTCAACCGCCACAGCAGCAACAGCTGCTGCGTCTGCAGCATCAGGAGCAGCAGCAGCAACAATAAATGAGAACACAGCAGCAGCAGCAGCAACAGCAGCAGCTCTGCTGCTGCACTTACCTCTAAGCCGCTGCCGTGCTCATCAGCAAACGCTGCGCAGCAATAAAGGAGATTGCGGCTGCCTGTCTCCGTTCTGTCGTCTCGAATAACCACATCCCCAACCTGCAGCACAAACACGAAGTGTCTCCTTACTGCAGCACGAACAAAAGGTGTCTCCCTACTGCAGCACCAACAGCAACAGTCTCCTTACTGCAGCACTAACAGCAACTGTCTCCTAACTGCAGCACGAGTGCGTGTCTCCCATGCACCCAGCACAGCAGCTAGCTAGCTACGTAGCTAGTTAAGCAGCTAACTTGCTATGCAGCGAGCTAGCTAAGCAGCTAGCTAGCTAGCCTCAGATCCCCGCGAGCAATTGCGCTGCAGCAACGGCTAGCTGAGTGAAAGAGAGACAGCTAGCTAATTGTGAGACACTCAGGAGGGAGACAAAAGAAGGAGAAGACATCAACGTTGCTAGCTAGCTAGACAGTTAGCTAAGCGGCTAGCTAGCTAGCTAGACGTTACCCTGTTGGTTCGCCAGCTAGCTACCTAGCAAGCTGTCTATCTATCTATCTATCTATCTATCTATCAATCTATCTATCTATCTAGCAAGCTATCTATCTATCTATCTATCTATCTATCTATCTATCTATCTATCTATCTATCTATCTATCTATCGAGCTAGCTAGCTAGCTATCTAGCTAGCTATCTAGCTAGCTAGCTAGCTAGCTAGAGGAGAGTAGCTGCGTACTTCAAAGAGCCGAATAGGCATCTCTCTTCTTCCTGCATTCGTCACAAGCGATCTGAGAAGACCAGAGATTAACTGGGTTCGTGTCTCCGTCAGCTCTCTTGTCTTTGCATTTGATAGCAGCACAGGTAGGCTATCCCACTGGTGCTGCAGCAAATAACAGCAGCAGCAGCAGAAGCAGCAGCAGCAACACCAGAATATAACAGGAGCAGTAGCAGCAGCAAAAAGCAGCAGCAGCAGAAGCATAAAACAGCAGCAGATAATAGCAGCAGAAAGCAGCAATAAATCAATCATGCAAATCCGCTACAAATAATAAAATTATGTAGGAAGGGCTGCAGCAACAGCTGCAGCAACAGCAGCAGCAGCAGCAGCAAGACCTTCCACAGCATGAATTGCGGCAAGAGCAACAGCAGCAATAAACGCAACAACGATAGCAACAGCAGCAGCAACAATCACAACAACAGCAGCAGCAGCATGAACAACCACAGCAGCAGCAGCAACAGCAGCAACAACAGCAGCAGCAGGACCACCACCACCAGCACCACCACCCCCATCAACAACAGCAGCAGGAGCAGCAGCAGCAACAACAACAGCAGCAGCAACAACAACAACAACAGCAGCAATAGAAGGAGACATCTCATACCTCTATAGGGTTAAAAGAAGCAGAGGGTGTATGAGGCGGCTGCGCCGATTTGTTCAGGAAGTCTGCGTTATCTTCGCTGCTGCATAATGCAAATGTAAGTGTCTCTGTATATCCTAAAGAGACAATTAAAGTTCTTATACTCTGCTGCAGCAAAGATCTTTTATTACTAGCAAGTCTTGGGGCTGCATGCAGAGGTAGATTGCGGAAGCCTATTCCTATTGCTACGTCTTCTGCTATATCCACCTCATGCATTATGTCTGATATAAATAACAAACAATGCGCACAACATAATAAATTAATTAATTATTTTATTTAGTTATTATAATTAATTAGTTATAATTAATAATGTAATATTAATAATATGTAATAATAAACATATAATTAATTATTTATTTATTAATACAGATTATTAATTATATATTATTAGTTATTCATAATTAATAATATATAATTAATTATTTGCTATTAAGAACAAACAATATATAATTAATAATAAACAATAAATAATAAGTAATTATGCATTATTAATTATTGCTATATATAATTAATAGATAGCAATTAACAACAAAACAATCAACAACAAACCCTAAACCCTAAACCCTAAACCCTAAACCCTAAACCCTAAACAACAAACCCTAAACCCTAAACCCTAAACCGTAAATAATGGATCCTGAATCTTGAGCAATAAACGATAGACAACAAACAACAAAATCTAAGCACTAAACCCTAAACCCTAAACCCTAAACCCTAGGAGAGGAGGAAGGCAGCACCTGTACGGGTAGGCGGTATAAAAACCTGAAGGAAGTCAGCCTCATTTGGGGGTTTAGGGTTTGCTGCTAGCATTAAACGATGCAACTCCTTTGCTGCATCTGCTGCAGTCAGCTGAGGTAAACCGCAGATGCGGCGCACTGTCTTCATATCCACGCACATCTCACGCCTGAAACCACAAACCCTAAACCCTAAACCCTAAACCCTAAACCCTAAACCCTAAACCCTAAGCTGTGAATAATGAACAATAAACAGTGCAAATCGCACGCCCGATACCACAAACCCTAAACCCTAAACCCTAAACCCTAAGCTGTGAATAATGTACAATAAACAGTGCACATCTATCGCCTGAAATCAAGGGCAAGGGATTGTTTGGTTGCTAGGGTTTGTGGCTAGGGTTTAGGGTTTAGGGTTTAGGGTTTGAATTACGTCTCTAGGACGGGAGTAACTTTTTCTTTGTTTTCTTCTTCATAAAGCACTCGCACGGGCTCTACAGTAAACGGGTCTTCGCAATATTCAGCTAACATCGAGACAACCATCATCAACGCCATATCTCCTTTCTTCTCCTCAACCTGCAGCAGCAGCAGCAGCAGTAGCAGCAGCAGCAGCAGCAGCAGTAGCAATAGCAGAAGCAGCAGCAGTACCAGCAGCAGCAGCAGCAGCAGCAGCATCAGTAGCAGCAGCAGCAGCAGCAGTAGCAGCAGCGCCAGTACCAGCAGCAGTACCAGCAGCAGCAGCAGCAGTAGCAGCAGCAGCAGTAGCAGAAGCAGTAGCAGCAGCAGCAGCAGCAGCAGCTATATTTCTCTCTCTCGCTCTGTCTCTTTGGCTTTCTGTCTCCGTGTATCTTGATTTATCTCTTTCTGTCTGTCTCTCTGTCCTAATGATTAATTTATTTTGATATTTATTTATTTATTTAATTTAATTTATTTATTTATTTACTTACGGAGGTGCAATCAACGAAGATATCCACAGACTGTTCAGTCAATCTGCAGAAGTTTGAGTTAATTAAAGGAGGCAGAGACAAATACTGCTTTTTACTGTCTCTCAGGACATACAGCTCAGATTCGCCCTCCAGCATGTGCAGATATTGCTGCATGCACACACATTATACACCCCAAACAATGCAACACATGTATATGCATGCATGCATGCTTCTGTGCATGCACAGATAAATATTTATATATATATATTTATATTTATATATATTTATATATATATGCATAGATATGTATGCATATGGATGCATGCATTCGCATGCATATGCATGCCTATGCATTTATGCATGCATACATGCACGCCTGGCTCTGCTGTCTATTTACCCTAAACCCTAAACCCTAAACCCTCACGGAGACACAGAGGAGACTGAGGAGACACCTCAACAGGGCCGCCCCCATAGAAGCCAGCTACGAGCTTCCACCCTAAGCCCTAAACCCTAAACCCTAAACCCTAAACCCTAAACCCTAAACCCTACCTTAAGCTGAGGGTGTGCAGCAAAGTGGCTTAGGATTTGAGGGCCCTTCATAGGCGGAAGGTCGCCGCAGCCTAAGGGTTGAAAGCAAATATCATTTAGAGGCAGCCGCTCGTAAGTAAAGGGAGGAGACAGCAGAGACAGATCGTATGTTCCTATAGAAGCCAGGGTTCTCCGCCTGCACCAACAAACCCTAAACCCTAAACCCTAAACCCTAAACCCTCAATACACCCATCTACACCATACGCAACACACTCCACAAACTTAACCTAAACCCTAAACCCTAAACCCTAAATCCCGATTAATAAGTCCTAAGCATTGAACCATGGCCTGAGTCCTACACCCCAAACCCTAAACCCTAAACCCTAAACCCTAAACCCTAAACCCTAGTGCTTGCCTGCAGAGGGTTTGATGAAGTTTTTCTTGAAGATCAATGCAAGACTGCAGTCGCCTCGCATTTAATCGAACCCCCCGAAGGGCAGCGCATGCAATGAAGGGCCTCGGGCCCCGCGCCTAAAAGGAGACACCACAGACAGCAGAGACAGTAGAGACAGCAGAGATAGTAGAGACAGCAGAGACAGTAGAGACGGCAGAGACAGTAGAGACTGCAGAGACAGTAGAGACGGTAGAGACAGCAGAGACAGTAAAGGCAGTGGAGACAGTAGAGACAGTAGCTAGAGGCAGCAGACACAGCAACAATACCTCCATCAAGAGCCGCAGCATCAACAGCAGCAACACCAGCAGCGGCAGTAGCAGCAGCAACAGCAGCAGCAGCACCAACAGCAGCAGCAGCATCAACAACAGCAGCATCAACAGCAGCAGCATCAACAGCAGCAGCACCAACAGCAGCAGCACCAACAGCAGCAGAAGCACCAGCAACAGCAGCAGCAACACCAGCAGAAGCACCAGCAGCAGCAGCAACAGCAACAGCAACAGCAGCAGCAACAGCAACAGCAGCAGCAGCAGCAGCAGCAACAGCAGCAGCAGCAGCAGCAGGGCTTACGGAGGGTTTGACGTGCATTGTTATTTTTGGAGTGCCGGCGAGAGACAGAGAAGGAGACAGAAGAAGAGGGTCTGAAGATGTAAATACTTTTAAAGCTCTTCCTAGACCCTCTACAGATAAAAGATCATACCTGCGTATACACCCCAAATTATCTTATAGTTGCAAATGCATAAAAATAAACAAAGATAGAGACAGACAGACAGACAGACAGACAACCACAAAGAAGAAAAAGAGACAGACAGAGACAGAAAGAGAGACAGAGACAGACGGAGACACAGATAGAGGTAGAGAGAGAGAGAGAGAGAGAGAGAGAGAGAGAGAGAGAGAGAGAGAGAGAGAGAGAGAGACAGAGAGATAGATACATAGATAGAGATAGAGAGAGATAGAGATAAAGGAGACAAAAAGGAGACCAAAAGGAGACAAAAGGGAGACGAAAAGGAGACAAAAGGGAGACGAAAAGGAGACAGAAAGGAGACAAACAGGAGACAAAAAGGAGACAAAAAGGAGACAGAAAGGAGACAGAAAGAAGACAAAAAGAAGACAAAAAGGAGACAGAAAGGAGACACAAAGGAGACAGAAAGGAGACAGAAAGGAGGCAAAAAGGAGACAGAAAGGAGACAGAAAGGAGACAGAAAGGAGACACAAAGGAGACAAAAAGGAGACAAAAAGGAGACAGACCTGTTGGCAGGCACTTCTATTTTAAAAACTGTCTCTTCTTCTTGCTGCACCACTTCGTCTAACTCCACCCCAAAAGAAAAACACAACGTGTTCAACTCATCCTCGCCTGCACGCAAACCCTAAACCCTAAACCCTAAACCCTAAACAATAAACCCTAAACCCTAAACCCTAAACAATAAACAATAGACAAAAAACAATAAACAATAAGCCCTACAAACTAATTCATAGACACTAGAACCTAAACCCTAAACCCTAAAATGTAAAGGGAAGCACAACG